TTGTTGCTTCAGCCATATGATACTTATTTGACACCCCACCCACCCACCGACCCAACCAAGAGAGGTCAGAGGTCAGGGTCAGCTACAGAGCAGCATCCCAGAGAGTGTGAGGAATCAGGGATTTGCTCAAGGACACTTCAGTGGGGTGTGTGTCCTCCATGCACCTGAACTCAGATTGTTAGACTGAAGGGATACAAAACCCGTGACCGACAAGCTACCATCAAAAAAAAAAAAAAAAGCACAAGCGATTTCTTCACATCGTTCATCACATTCGGCACTAGTGTCGTAGAATTGTCAAAAACCTTCTTACAAATGTGAGAAAGTGTTAATCCAGGAGATTCCAGCTTCCACAGAGACTTTTCAGTTTGGGTTCCTGCAGGTAAACATGTTGTAGTTGTTTGCCAGATGGTGTTTGGCAACAACGATGTAAATGTCCCTTCAACCCTGTGGATGCAAATTGCATCGAAATACATTTTTCATGAAAAGTCACAGGACTAGAAATAAGGAGAGCGAGAGACGAGCAAAAAAACTTCCTGTGATTCAAGAGATCAGCGAGTTCAGTACAAACTGAGCCTCTATATTTTTTTTTTCAGTCAGAAGCGGAAAGTAGTTTATCACCATTTTAGGTATGATTACTGGGATGAGTGAGTTGGTGCCAACTGTTGGCATTGTGTGAAATTCACTGCTGTATGGAGAGGTGGAAGAGGTATTCAGATCTTTTATTTAAAGGAATAGTTTAATAGTTTAGAACTACTACTAGTACTATTTTAATTATTGTGGATGATCGGAGTATATGACGCTGAAGCCAGCAGCCAGTTAGCTTAGCTAAGCATGAAGACTGGAAACTGGGGAAAGCAGTTCACCTGTCCAAAGGTAACAAAACTAGCACCTCCGAATCTTGTTAACTAACATGATATATTTTCTTTCTTTAAGCCAATAAAAAACATAGAAGTATAATAATGACAATTCACCGTTTTGTAGGGGCTTATGTGTCAGACTTTTTATTGGACGTGCACAGTGACAGCCTGTTCCTCTCGTATTGATCTTGTCAGCAAACCCTCAACAAGTCAAATAGGAGTAATATGACAGAGTTAAAAAATTGTGTATCCTGCGTTCAAAGTTCTTCCTAAGTGCAAAAGTTTTAGCTGCAAAATGTATTGGAAGTATCTGACGTCAGCACTCACTGTAGCTGATGTTGAGGTGAACTGCCGATTTATATAAACTATTGGGTTCTATATTAACACATAAAACATTTTTCTATCCAAAATCTGAATCTGTGAAGTAATTGATGACTACAGACGTCAAATAAATGTAGCTGTAAGTAGACTTTATAAAGTGCAGGTACCTCAAAATCCTACATAAGCAAACTGAAACCAGTTACTTTCCATCACCAAGAAGAGTGTCAAATACAGACTGCACCACAAAATAGTCTGTACCACCAATTTGACTAAAAGGGCCATAATCTAAGTCCTCTCTCACCTCCATCATCAACATAACAAAGCCACTGCAAACAAGATCAGCGGCAGCGAACCACCCCTCTCGCCATCATCTATGCCTGCACAGCGCAGATCCTCCGCCAAAGCCAGCAGCGTCATGCAGCCTCCTGCGGCTTCCTTATGCGGAGAAAATTGGAGCCACTTATTTTAGGTCGTAGGTTCAAGCTAACCACAAGCTCAATCAAACTCAGTGACATTTTCGTTGGCTCAGAGAGCTGTAAATTTTGCTTACAGTTACAGTCACGTACAGTAGAGACATTTCACTCCATGGTTTTTATTGCTGTTTTACTGGAACTTAAAAAATGGCATCATTACAAATAAATACTGCAAAATCATCAATTTATAGAATTTAAAAAAAAGTAAATTCATTCATGTCAAGTAATTCCATATGATAATAATACAATTTAAGTGCTGGATAAACACATTTTCCAAGCAGAGGAAAAAATATTTTGCACCTTGAAGCTTGAACCGCCACGAGGTCACGTCCACGTACTGTACAGCACACAGTGGAACACACATCATTAGCATTGTATTTCTAATGAATGAAGCGCTCCACATGGCCTTCACTTCCTTCAGCGCTGCCTCTCTATTCTTTATGAGCAGACAGGAGCACAGCAGGCACAGAGGCAGCAGGCTTCCCCCCAGGTGCCCTGAGGCTCCAGACAGATAAGCACACACACACACACACACACACACAGAGAAGTAACTGTTTATACTCAAACTTAGATTTTTATTCATCACCCCTGCTTCTCCTTAAATATACAAATACATGTCCACACTATAAGGCACAGAGAAGCACACTGTCTCACAAATGACTGTGCAACATCATGAGAGAGCAGACACACAAACTAACGTCCTGCTGGCTGGTAGGCAGCATCCGGTGTTTTGGAGTAACAGGAAGTGTGTGTGTGTGTGTGTGTGTGTGTGTGTCTTTATAACAGGCTCTCTGAAGGAGTCAGGATAACAGTGAGGTGTTTCAGTGTTTGATCTTTTGCCAGCTGCAAGTGTTGCAATTTGCCAAAAAAAAAAGAAAAACTCAAATGGAAAAAGTTGCTCAGTACAAAATTTTGTAAATGTTTTCATCATCTACTTCTCTTTTCCATAACCCTCTGATCATGAATAATAGCCTTTTTCCCCTTTGTCAGCAGAATAATAATAATAACAACATCCCCTTTTTGGCAGGAACTATGTGATGTAAGCTGAAACATGCTGATTGTGAACACATATGGTATACATCCACACATATAGACTGAGGAGTCAGCCACGGCAAGATCACCCCACCCCCACTGCTCATTATGTTTTCTGTTCTATCTCATCTCATCAACTTTTTTTCCCCTAACTCAGCTATTTAAGTTTTTTTTTTTTTTTTTTTCTCAGGTCTAAAATACACTGTGAGTCACTTTAAAACTCAAAAGATGCAAACTTAAAACTCCTACAAGAGAAGTGTACAGGCCCGAGGATTTACGATGGGCTGCCAAGGGGAGGAAACCCTGTTAAAACAAGGGACTGTTTTACTGCCATTTGACACATAATCTCAAACAGTGGAGCGCAGGAGTCGGAGCTGCAGAGCTCTAGCGTCTGCGTCTGGAAAAGATAGAGATGGAGAGATGGTTTTTTTGCTGCAGCATTCCAGGCAGGAATGGTTTATTTTTGTTGGAAACATAATTGTCTGTGGCTAGGATTTGGAAGTACATCTTACCCGCCAAACTGCCAGGAAGTGTACATGTGGGTGTTACCGCCCTCTTGTGGTGACCTAATGTATTTGCTTTTTCATAACACACAGGAGTTGGGTAAACTTGGAGGGGAGAGATGTTTTTTCTCTCTCTCTCTCTCTCTCCCTCTCTCTCTCGCTCTCTCTTCCAGGGTGTTAACATAGTGCAAATGTGCTGTGCTGTCATAAGGTCTGATTTCATACACCAGTACACAATGGAATTAAACATCGCTTCTCATGCAACTCCAGCAAATTTGATAAATAAACAAAGAAAAGAAGAAGAAAGGAAGAAACAAAGTGAGAACGAAATGGGCTGGAGGCTTGCCATGTAGTTTGACTGTTGACTGGTCTGTATAACTACTGCAGGAAACAGAGAATACAATGGTGAAAACTTGACAAACTTAAGTCAGCAAAGGTGTCTTAAGAAACCTGCAGACAGAGTTCAGGCTTAAAGGAACAGTTTGACATTTTAGGGAAATATGCTTCTTCCCTTTCTTGGTGAGAGTTAAATATGAAGATCATTACCATTCCTGCTATTTGTTGGTGGTGAGTTGGTGGTGACCAAAAAAGAGATAAAAAGAAGATCTATTGGGTTGTTCTACATTTCTGAATATGACGTTTTCTTGAAAGTCTCCTAAGATGTACTTCATCCAGGAGAGACTAATAAGAGGAACAAAAGAGGATGAGGAATTTGATGTAAAATGTAATTCATGGTGCACACAAGGAATAGACTTTGGTGCTTCGACCCCGGCAGGAAGTGGATCCCCATGGGGAATGGCCCATAGGAGTAAGGTGCTTCCTATTAGAGGAAACTGCCCTGGAGAAGAGACACTGCTGCTGGTGGTGATGAGGAATGGAGCTTGAACATCCTCATGAGTTTCTGATTGAGTGGTTTGATTTGAGAGGGTCAGGCATCCACGGTTGAGGTGATGAAAGGGTGGAGGAAATGACAGCTGAATGACAGCAGAGAGAGAGAGAAGTTTGAAGTTTGACAGCTTACAAGTGATTGGCTGAAGGCCACCGTGTCAGGTTGTGACGGGATGAAGATGAGAATGAGCTGGTGGAGCGTAGCGAGAGCGGGAAACAGTGCTTGTGACTTACAAGGCATCCGCAAGAAGATGTCAGGACTTGTTCTGACTGAACTTTCTCTAAGCTTCACACATGACATGAAGTGTTCGCCCTGTGACATCATGTGGGATGTGGTCTTCACCGCCGGCCATTAACATTAACATGAGACTCAAAATACTTTGTTTGAAGTACAAAAGTCAAACAAGTTTTTTAATATACATACACACACACACACACACACACACATACATGTGTATATATATATATATATGTTTGTAAGTCAAATCAGGTTTAGCTGAGTTCCGGCTGTCAGCAGCTATGAGAGTGTGCTTGGCTCTCAGTGACCATCAACCACCTGCAACTTTAGTGTGTGGGAAAAAGTGATAAGAGCACAGATGTTCTATGGTTTCTGTGGACCCTCAATGACATCTGATGGAAGAAACTATAAACCTTAAAGCCACGGGGGCCCTGCGTGGCTTTTGAAAAATTAAAAAACAGCCCAATAACAAAGACAACAGAAAAAGAATCAAGAGTATGTCGGCTAGTGCACTAAAAAGTGGTAAACTGCTGAGATTAACGCGCATTTTTAATAGGAGAACATAAAGAAACTGTAAGAAAAATGGAGCTCAGGTGGGTACTGCTCCCCTGTGGGAACATTTCATGGACTTGTCCACCTTGAGAAACTGTACAAGTGGATGAAAGAGTTAGATATTGTTAGTAATAACTTCGGCAAAAGCACTCAAAGATACTAATTTGTCATAAAATGTGGGCCTTCTTGGTGCTCACTCTGACCCTTGCCGTTAGAGCATCAGAAACTACCAACAACACAGCGGTTGAAGAAGAGCCTGTCATAGCCAGAGGTAAACTGCTGGTGAGTACACACTGAAATACACACAACACGGGAAGCTTTACATTTTTATCTGGATTTCACGTCGTGCCTAATAAAATGTTCAAGATTTTGTGACACTGGTGGAGAAACTTTAAAAGTCTCAAATGTAATACTCTCACGACAAGAGGACAGGGAGGGGGAAATCAGTGGGGAATCGGGTAAGATGGGTAAGATGAGGGCTTAGCCGTGTGCTGTCATGTCAGCGTGTACTCTGCAGAGATATGAAACCTATTCCTGGCACCTTTGATCACACATAGAACAAAGTGTGCACAATGCTATTTGTCATGCTGTTTTAACAACTGTCTGTTGTCGTCCCTGCAGGCCCCCAGTGTGGTCGGATGAGGCATAAAGAAAATGCCCGAGCTCCATCATTTTCTCATGGAGCGATGGGGTCTGTAGTATCCTTGTTGGCTCTTTTTTCATTTTCCTCAGGCTTCTTGGTGAGACATGACCTTTCCCAAAAAAAAAAAAAAAAAAAAACAGCACTGATTTTCTCATGACCTCTTTCATAGACAAAATAATGTTCCCAGCAAATTGCCAAATCCAGTGCCAGCTCTGTGGGCTTTCCAAAACTCCGCTCTTTTTCCAAGTTCAAAATCAATGTTGAGTGAGTCTAAAAATAGCAAAACAGATGGACGCGCAGCCCTACCTGTTGTTTCCCCTTGATCCGTTCTTTCCCCGTGTATAGCCACAACTTGGAGTATGATTCATCGGAGGAGAAGAATCCCCGCCTGATATTCTATAACGAAAAGGACGAGGTTGTAAAGGTGAGATGTTGAGTTCTTTTACTCATCTGCCTCATGATGGGGGCTTATCTCGGGAGTGCCAGAATGTCAAGACAGATTCATGTTGGGAAGTTTTAAGACTGCTGCATCTGATATCAGATCCTCTGTCAGATAGCGAGTCACATAGACAGAGTGTGTTTGAAAGAGCGAGACAGAGTTACAAAAAAAAGGGAGAGTAAGAAAATGTATAAATTAGAGTTTCTGACAGCTGAGCAATTTTTTTTTTTTTATATACTGAAACAGGATAGTTGGTATGGATGTTGATATAAACTTGAACATTTTATGCCCTGAAATTACAACTGTTCAGTGTTTCCCACAGACTTTTATTTTTGTCAGTGTGGAAAACGAGGCACAATAAAACTCTGGCAGTGAAACCAACACTAATGAATTTCTGTAGCCTCTTCTAAATGCACAAAAAGGCCACTGCTGTGACTGAAAAGTAAACTGCTCCCATACTTTACTTCTTCCTTAAGTTGAGTTTTTACCTTTTATTTTCCCTGCTAAAGTTTATGTGGGAGTTTTTTTTTTGTTTGTTTTGTTTTGTCTCCTTCAAGGTCTAATGTTTGTTGTTTTTCATTTATTGTTTCATAATGTGGGCGCCTTTTGAGACTGCAATGTGAGTTTAAATGAAGAATTATTTCAAAGACTAAATTATTGAACAAAATAAATGAAAATAAATGTGCAGGAGGAACCTTTATATCAGCTGTGAATAAACACGTTTTAATAAAAATCCAATTTGGGAGGACCAGATTAATGTGTCAGAATATACCTAATGTGAATCAGACCATATTATTTGTCTGCAAACATATACTTCTCTATTTTACTCAGCATTACAGCTTCTAAGCCTTTAACCATATGTGCAAATGCATGTGTGTCTGTGCTCCTGTGTGTGTGTGCGTGTGTGTGTGTGTGTGTGCGTGTTCGTGTGTGTGTATGTGTGTGTGTACGCCTGCCGACACGTCAGACTGTTCCCGTGAAGAAAATGAAGGCCGACGAGATCAGCAGCCTGTTAGACTCGCTGGGTTTCTACAAGAGGTCCCAGAAAGGGGAAGAGGTGCCAGAGGAGTTCCAGCATTTCCCCCTGCGCGCCCCCAGGGACGAGCTGTGACGACACCTTGTGGCCAAACTCTGCCGCTGCACCCTGGTCAGATTAATGACGTGTGGGGCTCCAAGGCCAAAAAAACAATAAGGCCAGGCACCATTCTGAGGACCTGCTGGCCGGGTGCCGTGTGCAGGGTGTTAGTCAGTGCTGTGTCATTCTGTCAATATGCTGAATTTACATTTTAAAAAAAAACACCACAATAAATGAATCAATGGATCATCCGTGTCTGCTTTACTTCACTATAGTCACCTGGAAGGGTTTGTCAAGTAGAACAACTATAGAGTGAAGAAAGAGCAGTGTATACTTGTAGAAAACACTGTGTATGCTCACACTGAAAACAGAGATTTGAATGATTTTTATCTGTGTAGGAAGGTAATAATGCTCCTACGTAAAATGAGATTTTCTTTAATGAAGATGTATTGTTGTGGTTCTCATTTTGGTCCATTTTCTATCTCTGTAGATCTTCAATAAGTGTTAAATTCTGTAATTAGATAAACAAATTTAATGAGCATCATTGAATGGCCACTAAGTGACAAACAAACCGCCATGCTGCTGTTTCAGCCCTATAATCCTCAACCCGCCTCCTTTACTATAATCTGATTAGCGGTAGTGTCTGCCAACTTGCGTCTGTGTGTGTCCATTTGTATCTCTGCGTGCCTGCCACTGTGCATTTGTGTGACTTAAGACAACAGGGATTAAACAGTATAGGCGCCGAAACACTGGCATTTTTGGACTCGGTAATGGTCACCCAGCTCTACCCACAATGCCTGTGTTTTACTCACCTGTTCCCGAGAACCTGCACATGGGTCTGGCCTATATGGGAGGCTCTGTGTTCACCAACAACAGGACGGCAGACAGCGACTTCACCAGGGACCAGGATGACGCATTTGGTTAGTTACTGCATACAGCTATAGTATAGTACAGTTTACATTTTAGAATATATTACGATATATTATAGTGAAAACATACATGTGAGCTCTGAGGTAGATCACCACTGTAAACAGTATTGGAAGAAATCCTGCTGTTGCAGAATCATCCATTATTGATGTGTTTTCTATGGTGACTGGGCTGTTATAAACCAAGTCTGTCAGCGTCATATCCCATCGTCATTTTTAATACGCTTCCTCTTTACATATTGAATATCTTTATTGAAAGATGTTCCTGCAAACACTAATGCATGTTTTGGCTTTTTTAAAGGCATGTTATTTATCTTCATACTGCTGCTTTAAAAAGTCACATAGCAAAGTTCTGAGGTCCTGATCTCATCAGTGGCTCACAAAGGCTGTTTACTGGCACTGAACCTATGATCAACCTTTAGCTGGCAGCTGTGATTAAGTTACATTAGAGGTGAATTCCCTTTTAATGAGCTGTGTACATTATCTTGTCAACCTTCTGTACAGCTATTTTTTTTTGCTTTATGCTTTATGCGTTCATGACATCAAATTCTTGCTGTGATGAATATCATTGTTTGTATACTGTTGTTATTTATCTTGCAGTGGTCAACGAGCTAGTGTCTCACCTCCCCCTGCAGATGCTGCTGTACTTCAACATGTTTTACTTTCCTTGCTGGTGGTTCTCAGCTGTGTTCATGCTGGAAGTAAAGGTGGGTCGGGAGGTCGGGGAGTGACGCCAAGCTCAGAAAATAATTCATGACACAAACTTGAGATAAATTCTTGTTAAAAAGCAGTGTGGTTAAATCAGCTCCATGGGAAAAAAAGGCTTATTTTTTCACTGACTATTTCACAGATGAAACACAGGCTGATAACTGGTTTATTCATTAGAAGTTATATGAAAGTAAATCCACTTCAGTCAGTGTCTGTCAAATTGGAAAACCTATGACTTTGGTGCCATCTACTGGTAGCATCAGGAAAAGGTGCAACAAGAAACACAGAGTACTGAAGTACAAGCAACTGTCTCTCGGCTCATTTTTATGAAAAACAAAAATGTACGATATGGGATATCATTAAAATTCTGCACAGATGTGAAGATGTTTTTTTAAGTAGGCCTGCTTTTGGACACTAAATTTAAATAGGCATACTGACATTACAGCTGTGCTTCATTTGCAGTTCTATCATCTGCCGGGGTACTACCAGGCTCTCCTCATAACCGGGATGATCCTCCTCACGGTCATTGAAGGGGTCCGACTTTATCTGGGCTACATTGGCAACCTTAAAGAAAAGGTAGTTAAAACCGACCTCCTCTCTGCACCACGACACAGAGCTCCTTTATGGTATCGTGTCCTGAATAATACAGTAACACAGTGGTGGAAGTGACTGCTTAAGTATTCTTCCTGCGTGTGTAAACAATCAGCTCTTGGCTACAACTGTCTATTGAGTTGATGTGTGTGTGTGTGTGTGTGTGTGTGTGTGTGTGTGTGTGTGTGTGTGCGTGTGTGGACACACAGGTGTGTATGTGTGTGTCTGTGCTTTCATGTGGATACAACTGAAGCATTTGATGCTTCACTGCTCTATCTTTGCATCGCCTCCATGTCTCTCCGTCCCTCCCTGTCACCAGGTGCCAGAGTTGGCAGCCTTCTGGCTCCTGTCTTTCATGTTCCAGCTGCCGGTGCTGCTGTTTTTCCTGACTGATGAAGGAATTATCATCCTTCCTCTGGAGAGAGCCGTCCACTCCCTGTACCTCTTCTTCCTCCTCGGCCAGATCCTGGCCTCCTTTCTGGCGCTCAGGACCATGACCCGAAAGCTCACCCTCCTATTCCATCTGCGCCAGTTTGGCAAGGTGGAGAGCATCCGCCATGCAGGGATGAGCCCTGTGTATGGGCTGACTTACCATCGAAGTGTGCTGCCCGTGTCACCCACCCAGGACATGTACCGTTAAAGTAAAAACCCATCCTCAGTTCACCCTACTCTATCACATATTTTCAATTTGGGATGTGTAAAGTTTTCTAATTAACAACACTTTTGTTTCCCAGAATGCCTCTCAACAACTGGCAGACAATGTAAATTTTAATCAACTGCTCCATTGCCCAACGTATGCCTGCGTCATTGGCCCAAGTCTGGCCCATATACTTCTACATCTGGGCAGAGTCCGGCTGTTATCCTTCGGTACTGACCGACAGCTGGAAGATTTCTGTCCAGATGTGGAAGTAGCATCTGACAATATGGGCCAGATTTGGGGCGATGGAACCGGGCGGACACTGGGACAGAAGAAAACAAGCCCAACTATGGACCGGATTTATTGCTGGGAAGTGTGTGCCAAATCTTCCTGTATGACTTCTCATCGCTGGCATAAAGTGACAGTTCTAGAAAGAAGACCTTACTACTTGATTAAAAAAAACACTGATGCCAAATCTTGACATTCGCTGTTGTTGTTTTTTTTTTTTTTTTTTTTTTTTTAAAAACACCATTTTAACCCCACTCTAAATGTCAAACTCTAATACCGTGTCAAACAAACTGTCATGGAGCGGCTTGGCTTTACAGGGGAATAGAAGAAAATACAGCATCAAAGCTGAGAAATACAAGGCAGTGCATTGCCTGTAGATGCTTTTTTATCAAACAGCGTGAAACGGTTTCATTTTTCTCTCTCCGTCTTTAATGATGATGGATGATGGAGGCTTGAGTGTTGGGAGAACAGAATTGTTTTTTGCAAAGGTAGATTCAATTTTTCGCCCATGAGACAAGATTAGTGTTTCAGAGGGTAGAAAGCAATCCGTTCTTTTATTTCTGGCAGGAACAATGTGAGACACACATTAAAATTTCCCAATTTATCTTTAAGTTATTCCTTCAGTGTATAATATTACCGTTACTGTTTGATGAGTGGGATGCGGGAATCGAATTTCTTTAGGTTTATAAAGTCCAGGAGTCTATACCTAACTGCAGTAGAACTGTGTTAAATATTTATGACCACACAGTGGCAGTCAGTGACCAAAAGAGGGATGGTGAGGATTTAACGGTGCTGCAAAGTCCAATGAGAACAGATTATCATGCAGCACATGTCCTGATCACGAAACCCTCTGGCACAGGAATAAAGGCCTGTCCACACTTGAAAACAATGTATTATTTGATAATCTATGACTTCAGGTCGTGTCTACATGGAAATCGATTTCATGTTTTGTCCTCTACACATCTTTTTTCCCTCTGTTTGGGGATGAAATGATTTCACACTTGTTTAACCAGAAGCCTGCAGGCAGTATTGGGTGCTCTGTTATTTCTTTCTTGGTGAGAAATTATTTAGAGTGCGGTGCACTAAATCGTCAACAAGCTGGTAATGTGAGAGGCACAGTTTCCGTGATACAACATGCTTGTTCCGCTCTACTTTACATTCAGGAAACAACAAGCTGCAGTGGCTGCCACACTGTTCATGGAAAACAGAGAATGGAACAAAAACATTCAGAGTGGAGGATGTAATGTATGTTTACTACTTTATGTAGAACCTGGTGCTCAAAAGAAACGCAAAGAATGAATTCACGTGTTGCTGCAAAGGGAAGAAACATCAGGCTGTTTAGAAGTAGGGGAGGCTATTTGGACGAGACCAACCAAACTTTTACATTAAACTTACATCGGTTTGCTAATTATACTATTTAAAGATGATTACATATTAGATATCATTCACAATATTTATTTGAATGTAAAAATTCTGATGTTACAGCCGACCCCAACCCTGGTGACAGTTGCAACATGCATCAGGGATTATGGGCTTATGGTCAAGGTGGTCCACTCCGCGCTCCCCCTAAAGGCCTGCAGCACTCCCATTGTGTTGTTTAAATATGCAGCGCTTTTTTTTTCTGTCGCATTTGTTTTGGGGTTTGTGTGTTTTTGTTGTTGCATCGTTTCTGTGTGTGCAGTGTGTTTGCTGTTAGTGTCTTTGTTTTGTTCTTTCTGCGGCACGTTTTTTCATTTGCAGCACGTTCCCGTTGCTGTATTGGTTTTGTATTTTCGCGTGTATTCTTGAATCTGCATCGTTTATGAATTTGCAGCTTGTTTCTCCTGTTGGAAGTGTTTTGGGGCGTTGCAGCGTGTTTGCCCTCATCAGCCACCGTACTTTTGTGTTAAAATTAGCAATTATTGTTACATCTGTTGTGCTATAGGACAAAATGAGCTGCATATGCTGGCTATTTTGAACTACAAACGCTGTCGTGTGGTCTGTTTTGATGTGGCTGCTTAGCTTGGGGACAGTTACAATAACTTGTTGCAACCATTCCCAACAGATCATCATGTGCTTACCTTGACACATGCTGACTATGTCATTTAAAAGTCACCAAAACAATGATTCAAACCAAGTAAGTTTTAATTCATTCATTCAAAAGGTCGGGACAGTTTGACGAATGCAGCAGCAGATGGTGACTGTGTCTTCTGTCTTCCTGGTGGGGGGAGGGGCTAACTGAGAATATGCAGTATGAGTGTCACATGTTTCTGATTGTAGAAATAAGACTTGTTGCAACTGTTCCCAGTCTCCCCTGTCTGCTGTTTGTCCTTAACATCTGAAGTCTGGCAACAAGATTCCCTTCACTGAATATGGAAAGTGACACCAAACACAGGTCTTACATGCCAGGGCCTCAGTTGAAAATGTCTTGAATTTTACATCTTTGTGTAGTGGAAGAAACTTGCCACCAGTACTGACGATGAGGCGGCTTGGTTCGGTTCCTCTAGCACAATGATGAAATAAGAGAAACAGGAGAAGAAGAGCTGTTTATTTTTTTGATTTCAGACACTGTATTTGGTATGTCAGCCACAGCCGCAGCAACCTATTGTGCCATATTAAAATATGGAAGTTTAATTAGTCTGTATTGTCCCAGGAGGAAATGTATTTCCACAGCCTGCACATGCTTGAACCTTCTATGGAAAACATGCAGATACACACCACACACACAATTAATACATGGTCAGATTTAGACATAAATTACATATATTTACACATGTATTTGCATATTCATGTAGACACGTGTTCAACTGGGAATTTTTGTCTACAGCAGAAGTAACAAAGCTCCTGCCACAACAAGCCCTCTGTTTGCTTTCTAACCTTGAGACAAGCAGAGGTAAGGTGAGGAGTAGATTTAAAATATATATAAATATACATTTGAGAGTTGTAATATATTAATTTGGCATGAAATAAGACGCAAGTTTAAGATCATATACAAGTGTGTTTCTCCAGTTTTCTTCCTTAGTTAATCACCCGATCTTGTTCACCTGCCTCCCCGGCTGCACCGTGTCACTCGTTAGCTCCTCACAGGTTTTATATAGGGGGCAGTTTTCAGTTGCTGCTTTTCAGATTTGTTTTGTTGTATGTCTGTACCTGTGATGCCTGATTATTGCTGTTTCTTGAGACCACCAGTTCCCTGTGTTATCAGCTCAGACTGCGCATCATGTGCAGAAACACTAGCACTAATAATCAACATCATAAAATAAATACAAATCACACTTGACTTGGTTTGGATGAGGTTTTGCTTCTTCAGCATTCAGAAAAAAAGTTTAAACGTCTCTCTGACCCTCTGAGTTGATCCTGGTGCTTATGCTGCTTTTTGAGTCGGAGCAGACTCTATAAATCACCTGTATTGCTTTACTCAGGAACAGAAAAAAAAAAATCCACTGTTTTGTCTTTTCAGTGCAAACAGAGGTAAAGCTGTCTCATAATAGCAGATGTGGAGACAAGTGAAGTGCCTCTGTGGGAAAAGTCACTTTCAACATGTTTGTCCTCTCCAGCAAAGCCGAAGAGAGAACAAACACATGCAGAGAGTAAACAGGAAAAGGAGGCAAGTCTGAGAAACACCAGCTCTACTAAAAGCTGCAGGCATCAGGTAGAGCTGTGATGCCCTCCACCACGTTCTCATTTGTTGACAGTAATTACACCAATGAATCACAATTAATCTTATTGTCATGTATGGATTTGTTAAAAATGCTTATTGTTTTGACCCCCCCCCCAGACTAATTCTTTACAGTCAACAGAAATCTAATGATCATATATCATGAGAGATGCCGGTCCTGGTGTCCTCTTTCTCAAGCTGCCGAGTCTATGACGTGTTCTAGCATTGTTTTCACGCTCCCCACTCTCCAGAGGGTACGGTGTCTTCACCGGGATGCTGTGACCCATTCAGCTTCTCCTGTATCCGGTTTTAATAAGTCTGAACTCCTATTAGGTTCTGAAGAGGAAGAAGATTAACCAGCTGGTGGTGAAATAAGGAATAGAAATTCCCCCCGGAGACACAGTGGTTACATCTGAAGCAGCTCCTCGCACCTTTCACCTTATCAAATTGCCTCTCTGTGGTGGAGTGTGGTGAATAATACCCTTGGATAATCTGGGGACATAATGTTCTATATCTCACTAAACATATTGTTTCCCTCATGCTTTTTTAGCATCCTTTTTAGAAAATGTACTCCTGAAACTTGACAAGTTTTCTGCTTCACGTCTTTTTTTTTTTTCTTTTTTTTTCCCACAGTACGGCAGCATAGCATTGTCAGATGGGCTTCGGTGAGTCTGCCATCACCTTTAATTATGATTGGGTGCAGCCCAGAGGTAGCTCACAAAATGGGGCCGACGAGGCTGTGCTAAGCACTGGCAGGAAGCAATAGCCAACACATCACAGCAACATCCTCTTCCCTTATTTCAGTAATCCCTCGTGGTGCAGAGCTCACCAGACCTGCCAAAGACGCCTGGAAATGTTCCCATCCTCTTAATCCCAGGTGGAAACATAATGGGCCTTAACTATCAGAAAATATTGTCGTGCAGCTATATTCATTAAGTGTGATGACAAGTTGTTGAAGCACACCATAATTATGAAATTAAGCTGTTTTTAGGAAAAGATTGAAGATTTTATGTCTTCGGTAGGAACCAGTGGGCTTATGGGAGAGCCCATGCAGGGTTGGGATGTATTGCTACGCAGCCTAACACATGGTTGATGGTTTTGGTCTTTTTCATGGGATTTGTTCATAATGAGTATCCTTCAACTCTTTTGTTTATAGTGCCTATAAAAACTATAAGCAAAGGCTGAAACTACTGGACCACAATTCACCACAAATGCCATTTCCCTCCATTGTATTGGGGGGGGGGGTAAATTCTCACATGTATTTCAGAACCTCTGGAAAGAAACCAAAACCCAGAAAATCTGATTAATTTTTTTCTTCAGTCTGTAGTTTCTGTGTTTTTTCTTCTATTTTTCAATAGTGCAAAAAAGAGAAAGTAAATAAGCAAAACCACTAAGTGAGAAAATGTTCTTGCAATTTGGGTGAACCAATACCACTAACTATCTGGATCTACAAAGCTAGTAAATACACTCATTAAACCAGTGACACATCCACAACTGACC